AGAATGTGTACAAAACAACAAAGATGGCGCCGGCAACGCTTGTGGGTCGTTTTCAGTGAATGTCTGTGATTTTAAAGTAACTTTGAGTGATAAATAATTGTTTTTTGCGATCATTGCATTGCCCGGTGGGCAAATGCAACGAAATTTGTACTCTCCCGACAATAAAAACGACTTGCCCCGATCAGGCAATGGTTAACATCGAGCCCTGGGAATGAACTAAACTGAAATCCTCTGTAATACTGGAGAAGAGGCGGTTGCCATGGTGAATTGATGATTGGCCGTCTGCTGATGGCTTTTCTAAGCAGCTGAAATAATTTGGAACCAAACAACCACTTCAGAGTTGATGGAGAAACTGGGAGTTTCTTCATAGAGGTCCCGTCGAATCTAAACTGGTACTGAATGAGAGAAATATACGGATTCTCACACCTCATCTATAAGGAATTCTGATTTCCATTTGGTTTTACAGAGAGCTGGTGGACAGTCCTGGCTCTGCTTTCCCTATTCTGACCTTTCACCTTGGTAAACACAGCAGGCCTATGTGCTAACCTGACTGTGTCCAGCAGGGGGAGCTGCTGGTTACCTGGTTGAGATCAGAGACAGAGAGAAAGTTATTTCCAGGGAAGTTTTCTTCATGATCTTCATGGGGCTCAGCTGCAGCTGTCTCGATGATGCATAGTGGAGAAGATGAAGGCTTTTCTGTGATCGGCTGTTGCTTCTGTCAATAACAAAAAAAAACAGATTAGCACCTAAAATATCAGTTCAGAAATTTACCAGCAGTTTAATTAGAAGGAAAATCTACAATTTCACTGATTTGCTGCTGTTATGGATCAATGAAAACACAAAGCCCTCCTCAGTTCAGGGGCTTTTTTTTTCTAAAACAGGGAGATCCCATCCCTGCTCCTCCACCCAGAAGAGAATAAAGTTTAATTTTAAGACAGGCAGGCCTGATGTATAGATGTTAACGGTTTAAGGATGGTGGAAAAAGGCTCAGATCTGACTAAATTAGACCGTGAAGGTGTGCAGACCACCTCTAAAACACCTGGAAAAGAACAAGTCTTTCATAGGAACAGGGAATTCCGGTGTGGCATCATGATGATGATGATATCTCCTGTGGTGCAAAGATGGAGCAGAGGTCACCAACCACCTGCAGTTGACAGACCTACAAACCTGTATGGCTCCAGGGAAAGGGAGTCAATGTTGCTGGTGAAGATTCTCAGTCATCCAGGTCATAGATATTCCAAAAATGTTAAAAAAACAATCCACTGGACTTTGTTTGAAGTTTGAAGACGTTTCTCTTCACATCCAGGAAGCTTTTTCAATTCAAAATGTCAGAATGTTGAGTTGCTTTATACAGTAGCCCAACAAAGCCTTTTGTTTGTCAAAAATAGTTGCTGTCATTGCAACCCCAGCTCCTTTACAGGGGAACAGAAGACCTCGCCTGTTCAGCAAGGCCAACAATACCCTTTAACAACCTCCCTTTCAGAGACATAGACAGGTATGGGGCATTGCAGGCTAAAAGAAGCCAAACGACCCCCATTCCAAAGGGGTGGATCCGTTTGTCCGTTTCTATTTGCATGTTTTCTAAACAAAAACAAGGCTTTGTTGGGCTGCTGTATAAAAATTGAAACTCAACGCTATTTCTGACATTTAGAATTAGAAAAGCTTCCTGGATGGGAAGAGAAACGTCTTCAAACTTGGAAACAAAGTCCAGTGGATTGTTTTTCAATTGTTTTTGGAACGTCTCAATGTTAATGAGTGGGTTTCATGCGGAAGACCTTCACTGGACTAAACCCCCCAAATCTAAAACCAAACACGACTCCAGACACCAAAACAAAAATGAACTTTTTAAGTAGCCTAGTCAAAGTCTGGATTTAAATCCAATGGAAAACATTTCTGCAGCACCTCACGGTTATGACTAATCGGCAAAGGCTGAGAACCTCTGCTCTTAGAAAATACTGAATGAGCCAATTAAAACCGTCCACTGCTACACTTCGCCTTCCAGGTGTTTCTGAACACAAGAGACGATTTGTAGAGTTGATTGAGACGTTGAAGCTTTATGTCATTTCCAGAAGCCACCATGAGTGCTTCAGCAGACTTGTGATGAAGTTCACCTGTTGGTAATCGGTGCTGTCGTTACTTTCCGCGCCGCTAGCTGGCAGAGCACTAGGAAGGACTTCCTGACCATGCCCACTCATGGAGGAGGAGTGTATCCTGGGAGGAGCTTCCTGAGGATGCTCCCTCCTGGAGGAGGAGTGTATCCTGGGGGGACCTGCAAGACATCCAGATCTTTATTCTTTCTAAAGATCTTCTTTGTTTTCAACCCACTTTACCTTTAAAAACTATCTTCCTTATTTACTTTAAATTATTACATATCATAAGGGTTAGAACTGGTGATGGTGAGTTGAAGCCTCATTGAACCGTTTTGGCCAAATTGCTTCAACGATCTAGCCCCGTGAGACCATCCTGATCTCGCAAGCTTTCAAGATTTCACTCGCTAATCAGTCTGGAGACTCTCCTTTGAAGAAAATTTGGAGCCGTTCACCAAACGAACGTCCAATCAGCGTTGGCTTTGAGGCGGGTTGAGGTGTGACGCAACGAGAAGCGCGACAGTTCACTCTAAAGAACATGGCGGCTTCAGCCGATGAAACTAGCGTTAGCGTGGCTATCGAGCAAGTTTTATCGGAATTACAGAGTATTTCTTCACTGAAAGAAGAGCAAAACGCTGCTCTGGAGGCTTTTCTCAGAGGAAAAGATGTTTTTGCTCTTCTCCCGACTGGTTTCGGCGAGAGTTTGATCTATCAATTGGCTCCTCTTCGTCGTCGCTCTGTTAGTACGTCTTATGCTTCATTGATCTGATTGGTTTATTTGGCCCGTCTATCACCAACATAGGCCAATCAGCTAACCAGTATTTTCGCCCCTTCCCAAAATTACTTCAACGGAAGGTTTCCAGATGGATATGCGGAGCAAATCCATCTGACGGAGTCAGGTTAGAAACTCTCCCCACAGTTCATGAAGCTTCATGTGAACATGTCACCACCTACTGGTGGAGTGCAGAACTGCAGTTAGTAATTTAATCTGTGATTTTTTTGCAATTGTTTTTCATTTTTCCCCATTTAAGTTCCTTTGCAATTGTTAATGATTGGTCTGTATAATAAAATATTTTGTATGTTTCTCTTGTGAGTAAAATGTCTTAGAAGAGAACAATGTTTTAGGTTCACTGTTTTTCTGCCATTTTAGTGAAATAAGTTCAAGCAGACAGTGAAAGTGTTTGTGTAAATTGGGCAATGATGAGCAAAATGAAAGGCTTTAGTCATTTTTATTAAAACATGATAGTTTTTCCAGAGTTTTTGGTTTTAATCGGGTTGGAAGTTATATGTGTACTAGAGCAAACCAATACAAATTAGTCACATTAACCAAAATACTAGTTAAGTTTCATCGCAACTTTCTAAATCTGAGGTGGGATTTGAACCATCAATCTAAGGAATGGATGTCAATGTCTTACAGCTGATGCCACCTGCAATAGTAACTGCAAATGAGAAAGCAATACTATTTAAAACCAATATTACAACTGTAACTAGTGGTTTGCTTAGACTTTGATCATTACACTATTTAATCTAACCAAAATAGTTTAGATTAACTAGTTGGTTGTTTTTCCAACCAATCTATCCTTAGAATCTATCCAACTGACCGCAGCTGTCCCACAAACTCCCACATCTTGTCTGAACACTGAGGCTGTTTAAATGCCTGCCGAAGTTTGGGGCGAGCTGAACCACTTCCTGAAGCGGTCGCGTCATGTCGGACGTCATTGATTTTGGCTCCTCCCCTAATTGAAGCAAGCCCCGATACGCGCCTCGTGGAAATGCCCCCTCCATTACTCAACGCGCTTCGAAGCCTCGGCTCATCTCATAAATCACTAGTTAGAACCATTAAAGATAAAGACAGCAAGAAATATTCCTAAATGTATACAGTCCATCAAGAGAGTTCTGTTCCAGCTTTGTTTCAAATGATTTTAAATTATTTTATTTCCTCTAAAAATGGAAAGATGTTTCCTTTAGATTGCTGAATATTTCTAACAAATAGTAAGAAATCTATGTCTGATTATTCACAGCCTTTACCAGGAGGCTCCAACCTGAAGCTCCTCCTGTTTCCTCTCATCCTCCTTTGGATGATTGATGGCTCCACCTGCTGAGTCAACCATCTCTGAGGCAATCAGGCCTGTATGGCAGAGCAGTCTGACTGGACTTTTCCTTTAAAAATGTTTTCCTCATTTTCAACATGGACTTTAATGTTTGGAGTTTAGAGGAATTCAATGAATTGATGCCGTTTGGAATCAGACTGGAACCCAAACAAATGTGGAAGAATGCTTTACAGACTGGTTTTTACTCAGTTAATTCAAACACTCAGCGAGACCAGGCCTCAGTTATGGTAAATATCTGCAAACATAAATGAATCTAATGTAGGAAACTGTATGATTGACTTAGAGAGGGCAACGGTTGTTCCTACAGCTGTTTTCAGGTATAAATAAAATCCTAATGAGGTGCAGTGATGACTCAGAGTGTGGCTGTCTGTTTACTGACGCAGTGGGATGGCCGTGGCACCAGTGGAGCTTCCAGTATAATCCACTGGAGGCTCAGCCGACAGACTGTGGAGAGGAGAGAAGCTGGTCTGAGTCTTACAGGACTTCACCCTTACCCCTGTCAGGAGACAGATCACAGGCCAATCAGAGGGAGGAACAGCCTCCACCAATGAAACACGAGTGATTCAATGCTTCTCCAGACCTCTGATGCTTTCCACCAGTCGGGGGCGGAGCTTCCTGCCCAGAGGGGATGCGGGGGAGCTGAAACGAGGGTACGGGCTCTTCTTCAGGGTTCGTCTCAGACCTTCATGAGGGAGTTTGCCGTACAGACGAGTCAGATACAGTTCTCCACCAACATCCTCCTGCTGGATGCCCATCTGGTTCCCTGAGACTCCTTTAGGCTCCGCCTCCTGCAGCTGTACACAAAGCAGTGGTGATGTCACCAGCTGCACTTCGCCGTGCAGACTGACCCGTCACTGTTAGTAGGATCATGTATGACCGTTCTGTGTCCAGCAGGTTGGCCTCTGCTTCCTCTTCCCATAACGGGCCTATTGCTTGTTCCTCTGGGCACCGTCGGCGTCTTCCCTCTACCTGATGGTCTGGGTCGAAACTTTGCCGCGTTCGCTGCTCTGTGCTGATTGGCCTCTCCTGGACGTGTCTCGCCCTGATGGGGAGGAGGTTGATCCTGCACCTGAAGACAGAAGAGAGCTTAAGAAAACTTTAGTAGGATCACGTTTGACAAACAAAGTGATGCATGATGGGGAAAAAAAGAATCTGTTTTTATTTTCTTTGAAAAAAAAAATCTAAATCTGAAAAGTGTGGCATGCATTTGCATCAAGGCAGAAAGGGGCTGAGAGAAAATAGAAAAGAAGAGAAAAACGACGAGTGTTAGGCTACGTTCACACTGTCGGAAGTCACCCAAATCCAATTTTTTTTGCCCATATGCGACCCGGATCTGATCTTTTAATGACAGTCTGAACAAGAACGATCGGATTCTTTCCAATGTGACCCAGACCACTTGGCT